TAGCTCTAAGTGCCTACATCAAAAAATCGGAAAGAACACATATAAATGACTTACCATTGCAACTCAATACACTCTGAAAAGCAACAGCAAACGAAACGCAAACCCAGCAGACAAGAAGAAATAACAAAAATCAGGGCAGAAATTAATGAAATTGAAACAAAGAAAACAATACAAAGAATCAACAATTCCAAGAGCTGGTTCTTTGAAAAGATAAACAAGATTGACAGACCACTAGCCTAGTTAACCAAAAGAAAGAGCACCTCCAAATCAACAAAATTAGAGATGAAGGAGGAAACATCACAATGAACACTAAAGAAATCCAAAACATTGTAAAGGAACACTATAAAAATCTATACTCCACGTAAAATCAGAGATGAAAGGGGAAACATCACAACAGACACCAGAAAGATACAGAACATTATAAGGGAATACTTTAAAAACCTATATGTTAATAAATTTGAAAACCTAAAAGAAATGGACGAATATCTAAAGGCATGGGAACCACCAAAACTAAACCAAGAAGAGATCAACAGCTTAAACAGACACATAACACAAAAAGAAACTGAAACAGTAATACAAAACTTCCAGACTAAAAAAAGCAAGACCCAGATGGATTTGCAGCAGAATTCTATGAGACATTTGAGGAATAAAAAGAGGATCTGCATCCAATACTACTTAATTTATCTTTAAAAAAGTAGAAATGGAGGGAGAACTTCCAAATTCCTTCTATGAAGGCAGCATCAGTCTAATTCCAAAACCAGGTAAAGACACAACCAAAAAAGAGAACTATAGACCCATATCCTTAGTGAACACAGATGAAAAAATTTTCAACAAAATACTTGCAAACCACATACAGACACACATCAAAAAGATCATCCACCATGATCAATCAGCTTTATCCCAGAGATGCAGGGATGATTCAATATACGTAAGTCAATAAATGTCATAATCATTTAAACGGACTCAAAGACAAGAACCATATGGTCATTTCAATAGATGCAGAGAAGGCCTTTGACAAAATTCAACATGCATTTATGTTCAAAGTCCTAGAGGGAAT